TCATATATAATGAATTGAAAAAGATGTTACAGATAACGTTTGTAAAAAATCCCCAGAAGTTTTCCTTTTGGGAATTACTGCATTTTTCACTCTATATAAGACGCACCAGAGCACAAGACACACCTAGTTTTTGGAGGAGGAAAACAAGGAAAAAAATATTCTGAATCCCAGAAGCCAAAACAGCAAGAGGGATCGCTGCCCAGCGAAAGCAGCGATCCTTTTTGCTGTTCTGGCTTCTGGGATAGCTGCGCAGCCTGCATTCGCTCCATAAGACGCACACACATTTCCCCTTACTTTTTAGGAAGGAAAAAGTGAGTCTTATAGAGCAAAAAATACAGTATATGGACAGAACTACACAAACTGTATAGAGATTTATCCATGTATGCAACTACAGAGGCAAGAATGTTACTTGCCCAAAAGCATCTCTGATGCGTAGATGCCTGGCATTTGTTTCATACGATCTTTGTGCTGCACTTATCTGGCACCGATTGCATTCCTCACATTTACATCCTAAATTGTAATGCACTAAATTGCTTTCATTATCCAAAGAATTAAATGGTGTTGCCAGTATTTCATAATATGATGGGACTGAGCATTTTGGGCCATTTCATTCTGGGCATGTTGGCACATAATCTGCAGCAGCCTTTTCTCTTTTAAGACATTTTACAGATCACAACAGTATCCTTCTGAGTCATGATGACACCAAAATAAGAAGAAATTAGGTTCTCTCTGGTCACTTCCATGCACTTTGTGTTCAATCTGTGGTATGTTTTGAAAAGTTTGAGACTTATTATTCCTTTATACAAATACACCCCTCCACTCAGGTCCACAATCTGGATAAAGACCACGAGAACAAAACACACCACTCTTTGTCTATCGTACAACAGATTTCTTTTAGGCAAAGGTTAGTCTTCTGTGTGTAGGCACATAAATCTGCATCTATTGTAGATTGTTAAAAGTTCCTGCTTAGTATAATAAGATCTAAAAAAGAAATTAGACCAGATGGTGGAAGTGCAGGCGGAGAAACAATAGATATTTACAAACAAAAAAAAGTATTGGCTATAATAAGTTTTGTGGAAGGACATTACATTCTCTCTGATGCAATACTTTTGCAGTTGTTCTGTCTCAAAACCTGGATTGTCAACGTGATGGCCATGGGAGAACATGTGCCCACTGAGGCCTCGTCTGGTGGCCCCTTTACTAAAATTAGGCTTTAAATAATTGTTCTTCTAAAGCCAATAGAATGGGTTGTGGTCTGTGCTTGGTTGCAGTATGTGTATGGCAGAAGGTAAAGGTAAAGGACCCCTGGGTGGTTAAGTCCAGTCAATGGCGACTATGGGGTTGTGATTCGAGGACCCGATCCCCGCTTGGGGAATAAAGACACGTGGACACAGAATGTAAGGTTAATGGGTAAGGTAGAGGCCACAACTTTATTGATTACAGCATGTGAGAAGGTATTGGCTTAGGCATTGGACCACGGAACATTAGACTCCACACACTCGTAGAGGGGTGAGTCTGAGGAGGGGTTAACCACCAGTAGGGGAAGCCTGTTGATGCTAATCCAACTATAGGTTCTCTTCCTGATGTCACCGAGGGTCGTGTCATGGCCCCCCGCCACACGGGCATCAGACAGGATCTACGACCAATGGCCACACCTTGCCCCCCGAAACACCAACAACACATTCCAATGCCTAACCGCCAAATACCACGAAAGTTGTGACAGTTGCTACGAGGTAGGCGAAAAAAACAAAGAGGCCGGGCCAATTTAGCCAATTGGAAAAAACTGCTACCAGGCCCCCTGGTTAAACAGGGCGACCAACCAGAGGTCCATAGCAAAGTCTCAGGACCAGCTAATCTAAAGGGAGTGGAGGGTGGGTGACTCGAAGAAAATGTGTGTGCAATGGTGGGGATGGCTGGCGCGGCTGCATTTGAGCAGCAAGCCACGCCCCCGCCGAGCTTCCCTATTGGGTGCCCAACCGGGGAGGGGCGTGGCACCAGCCCTGGAGTTGAAGCAGGGGCGGAGCGCCCCCGGCATGATGCGGGAATTCCTCCCGGGAGGAGGAAAGGCTTTGTGGCGCTCATCTCGCTTTTCAGGCCGAGGGAGCCGGCATTTGTCCACAGAAAGATTTCCAGGTCATGTGGCCAGCAGGACTAAACCACTTCTTGCACAACGGAACACCAGAACAGAAACCAGAGCACATGTAAATGCTTTTGCTGTCCCACTGCAGTGGTACCTATTTATATTGGTGTTTTGCAACTTTGACCTGTTGCAGGACCTTAGCCAGATCTTAGCAGAGCATACGCAGAGTTCCAGAAAGCAATCAGCTGCAGGCAGGATGGACGAAACAGGAACAGAACACTGCTACTAGTAACTTGGTTACTTAGATGTGTTTATTATTTACAACAGACTCTACAAGTTATTGTATACAAGAACAGATACACGGATCTTAACTAGCTGTCTCTTAACAAACTCCAAACGACTCTCAGAACACCACACTGACCAACAAACACTCCAGTCAGTAAGGTCATAAGTCATTATGCCTGGGTGAGATCTCAACCAATGGTAAAGCTGTTTCCAGGGTCCCATATCTCCAGGCGGATAACTCCTCTCTGCTCAGTCATCCTTGGCTGTCAGCCAACTCTTAATTGACTCTGCGTGAAGCTGCACAGAATTGCGTGTAGTCAAAAATCCCAACAACTTATCTACTTGAACTGGTGTGCTTTTGAACTGCTAGGTTGGCAGGAGCTGGGGCAGAGCAACGAGAGCTCATGCCATTATGGGGATTCGAACCGCAGACCTTCCAATCGGCAGGCCCAGGAAGCTCAGTGGTTTAGACCACAGCGCCACCCGCATCCCAAATGTGTATGGTACCCACAAAGCGTGTTCTCCCTGAAATGAGAGCATGTGTTGCCGTGGAGTCTGCCAAGCCAACCCTCTGTTTCCAGGCAGGTAAAAGTGAGTTGGCCTGGGGCAATGATTGGATGGCCGGGTTGCTGGGGCAAATTGCATGTTGCAATGTGGTGGGTGGGACCAAAGACTTTAAATATTGGGGCACTCAGCTTTTGCTTTCTCTTTGCAGAGTGCATCGGATCACCCGCCCGCCTGCCCTGAGTTCCAGTTGACCTTGCTATGCCTGTCATGGGGTCGTCTGCCATTGGAGCAGAGGCCTAGTAGGAATTTTGTCCATTTGGCTGATTGGCTGGGGCCATTTGGTTTTTGCCTAAGGTAAAGGTAAAGGTACCCCTGCCTGTACGGGCCAGTCTTGCCAGACTCTAGGGTTGTGCGCTCATCTCACTCTATAGGCCGTGAGCCGGCGCCGTCCGAAGACACTTCCGCGTCACGTGGCCAGCGTGACAAGCTGCATCTGGCGAACCAGAGCAGCGCATGGAAACACCGTTTACCTTCCCGCTATAAAGCGGTACCTATTTATCTACTTGCACCCGGGGGTGCTTTCAAACTGCTAGGTGGGCAGGAGCTGGGACCGAGCGACGGGAGCGCACCCCGCCGCGGGGATTCGAACCGCCGACCTTTCGGTCGGCAAGTCCTAGGCGCTGAGGCTTTTACCCACAGTGCCACCGTGTCTGGTTTTTGCCTACTACTTAGCAATTCGTCACAACTTGTAAGGTTGCGGTTAGCCATTGGTTATAAAAATTGGTGGAGGAGAGGTAAGGATAGGCTGTGCCTGCCCCTCCAATGGTGCTGGAAGGGAATTCCGTTAAAGGAATCCTGGGGCTTGCCACGATTTCGTCCAATCCCTGAAATGGGACCAGGGCCGGCAAGCCCTGGGGAGCAGGTTGGGTGAGCAGTGAGGGACTGTCACTCAGCTCAACTGATCCCCAACATTGTTTTCCCTTCACTGGCTTCCGATGGAGTTCAGAAAGTCAGTTCTGTCCCCAGGCAGGGGGACAGATAGTCATAACCAATGCCTAAGCAACCACTCACAGATGATGTATTTTAATAAAGTTGTGGCCAAAATTATGCCAAAAACCTTAAACAAAAATTAAGCGTGAATTGTGAATTTATTTTGAGGGGTGGCTTGGGGACCTCGACACGCAACAGTTGCAAATGGGTCAATTGGCCAAACAGATGTATTACCCCTAAAGGATAGTGCAGCCCTGATCCTTTAGCATGCATACACAAGGTCTTCAAAAAGAAGCTGAAATCACTCTGATCATCAGCTTTACATAGAAGAGGAAGTAGGAAAGGACATAACCTAATAGTCTGCTCTTCCTCCTGAACATTAGGATTCAGGCTTTGTTTACAAAATAGCCATGGCTCCTGGATTTGGGTGGCGAATTGTTCATGAAATGGAGATTCCTCTTAGCTCCCGGATTTTTTTGTGTCAGTTCTATAACTGTTTCAAGCTCCTGGGAAATGGTTACTGACCTTAAAGTCTCCATCCTTGTATGAAGAAATTTTAAATGGTGACTGCAACGTGAACAAAAGGATTAGATTTTGTTTGTTTGTTTTTTAAAAAATGTCAGTGCTAGCTGTTGTGAACTGAATTGGCACAAATATTATTTTGGGGGGAGTAATCGCACTACAAATGTTAATTGTTTTGCTATTGGCAGGATGGCTGTGTTTTCAACATCTGTGTGAGGGTTTTTTTTCTAATGGCCGGTGTTAATAACATAATTATCACTGTCTATACTTTCTGCATTTCATTTTCTTTTGACCCCATAATAACTCTGTTTGTGTGTATCAGAATAGCACTGTGCATCTGATGAAGTCAACTATAATTCACAAAGCTTCTTCCGTAATAAATTCATCAGTCTTCAAGTTTTTATTGATATTTTTCAAGTTTATACATTTCATTAGATTTACAATCAATTTAACATTTCAAAGTTTGACTTCCTTCCCCCTCTTTCTGCGGTTCCTTAAATTTATTTTTTAATATCTTCTGCATATCAAAATTCATTTAATTTGTTCATTTAATTATCTACTTTAAATATATGCTCTTATGAAACTGCAGGTTATCACAATCATCTGCTAATGTTTTTATCAGTTTGCAATTTATCTGTAAATATTCCATAAACCATTTCCATTCTTTTATAAAAAGTGTGTTATCTTGACGTCTTATTCTCCCAGTAAGTTTTGCCATTTCTGCATATTCCATAAGGTTTTTTTTATCCATTCATCAGTCTTCAAGGCACCACAAGAGTCCTTGTTGTTTTAGGTACCTTCTATTTCCCTTGCAGGATGGAGACAAGCTTCAGAGGAAGTACCATATTTTTCGCTCCAGACCATAAGATGCACCTAGTTTTTGGAGGAGGAAAACAAGAAAAAAAATATTCTGAATTTCAGATTATGCGCAGCGAAAGCAGTGATCCCTCATGCTGTTCTGGCTTTTGGGATAGCTGCGCAGCCTGCATTCGCTCCATAAGACGCACACACATTTCCCCTTACTTTTTAGGAGGGAAAAGGTGAGTCTTATAGAGCAAAAAATACGGTATGTTCAAGGAGAAAATGAGAGAGTTTAAACAGCTCTCCTCCAGCACAATGGGTTCAATCCAGCCCCACGGTTGCATTTCACTTGCAATATCCCATTCATGCGGCTCCCATATCATGAAGAATTGTGCTCTGGAAAAAAACTTGCAGATAGAAAATTGCTGAAGATAATTTTTGGTTGCTACAAGTTTGGGAGATTATGAAACTTATTCAGTGTGAAGAAAGAATGACAGCTATTGAATAAATTTATAGACAGATGGGAGGAAAGCAATATTTTCACTGGTGATTCTGACGATCGGGCCTCGCAGGAAAGATTGTGATTATAGCTATTGTACTAAAATGGTGAATACTGTTTTATCAGAAGATATGAAATTGTTTTTCTTTTGGTACCAGTTAACAAAATGAAAACGTAGATCAAAAATAGCATCTTGAGACTTTGAGGGAGATGCCCCCCCCCATCAGAAAGCATGTGGAGGATCAAATTTTGTTCATGCTCCCTCATCTCATACGGAAAGGAAGCATATCAGGAAGAATGCTTCTAACCTAGCCTTAAAGACACCTATTTGAAAAATTCCTGCACTGAGAGCCTTGCTACCTGGAGCTGTGCTGAAGTTAAAAGACAGCTTGCTGGCTACATTTGGAATTAAGATTTAAAGCTTCACTATTCATATTTCTTCAATTTACTAAAATATGGCTGATGAGTGCAAAAATATAGTCATGGTAATTCAAAGGTAGGATATTTTCCCCCCCCCTCTACCTCAGATTTATTAGTGCTAAAAATATTTCATATTATCCTTCAGCAGAATATATGCTGAGCATTCAGCAACTTAATGAGGTCATGTAAGCTGCTGGTATTTTTGTTTTTTCCTGCAGTTTGTAGGAACTGCTAATTTTCCATTTTGTTTAACCAGCCTCATATTTAAGAGTGAGTTCAGTTTATTGGTTTCCAAAAGTGTTTTACCTGCTATTTACTGCAGCTTCTCAGAAAGCACCATCTAAGATCACAATAAAACCAAATGGAATCATGAGGTTGAACCTCCATGAATTTGCCTTTCTGAGTATATAATGATCTGAAAGTCAAAACTTGATCTTATCCATATTACAATAAAACCATTGCAATAACCCATAAGAGATCCAGGAAAACGGCAAAAGCTCCAGCAGAATAAACATTTCATCAATAAACAGAAACTTTTATCATATCACACACTTGCACTTTAACTGCCAATACTTGCACTTTTACTGTCAGCCTCTTATTTCCCCCCAGAAAGAAAGAAAGAAAGAAAGAAAGAAAGAAAGAAAGAAAGAAAGATGCAGGGAAGATATACCTGCAAAAGACTGGAAAGACGTAGAGATGAGCTAGCTGAATTCTCATGGTTTCCAGTGAATTCTATGGGACAAAAAGAAAATGGTTGCAATGTGGCCCCAGTCCTCCTATTATTATTATTATTATTATTATTATTATTATTATTATTATTATTATTATTATTTTATACTTTTCAAGTTTATACATTTTATTAGTTTTACAATCAATTTAACATTTCAAAATTTGACTTCCCTCTCTTTCTGAGATTCCTTAAAAAAAAATTTAATATCTTCTGCATATCCAAATTCATTTAATTTGCTCATTTAATTATCTTCTTTAAATATATACTCTTATGAAACTGCAGGTTATTACAATAATGTTTTTATCTGTTTGCAGTTTATCTGTAAATATTCCATAAACCATTTCCATTCTTTTATAAAAAGTTTGTTATCTTGATTTCTTATTCTTCTGGTTAAGTTTTGCCATTTCTGCATATTCCGTAAGTTTTCATGTCCATTCTTCCTTTGCTGGGACTTCTGCCTCTTTCCACTTTGGGGCAAGTAACATTCTTGCTGCTGTAGTAGCATACATGAATACAGTTTCGGTAGTTCTGTCCCTATAATTCCCAAGGAATTATTATTACTGTTCTCATCATCATCATTTTCCAGTGCACCACCATACTTTTTCCCATTTAAGTGGTGAATGAGTTCTGAGTACAGTGCCACCTCGGGTTAAGTACTTAATTCGTTCCGGAAGTCTGTACTTAACCTGAAACTGTTCTTAACCTAAGCACCACTTTAGCTAATGGGGCCTCCCGCTGCCGCCACGCCGCCGGAGCACGATTTCTGTTCTCATCCTGAAGCAAAGTTCTTAACCTGAAGCACTATTTCTGGGTTAGCGGAGTCTGTAACCTGAAGCATATGTAACCTGAAGCATATGTAACCCGAGGTACCACTGTAACAGTACTGGAGACAGCGCATCAGCTCTTAAGATTCTCTCAGGCTCTTCCCCAAACTTGCCAGATCCTTTAAAGTTCTACTCTTATTCTATCTCTAGCTAGGCAGATTCCACCTATGGCAGGCTTTGTCAACCTCGGCCCTCCAGATGTTTTGAGACTACAATTCCCATCATCCCTGACCACCGGTCCTGCTAGCTAGGGATCATGGGAGTTGTAGGCCAAAAACATCTGGAGGGCTGAGGTTGAGGAAGCCTGACCTAGGGTTACTTAATCCCAACTCCAGCCTTCCAGGCTCCATTGGTGGGCGAGCTCAACTTTAAAAGGTATTGTTGAAATAAAAAGCCAGTAACCTACAGCGGAACAGGATAGCTGTTGCGTATGTCTCGATCATACCAGCAGCGTAGCGCCGGTTGTCAGTGCCTAAGGTGGGCACACACGTGCTTGGAGGACCAACACAGCCCTCGCTACCGATGCCTCCAGAGCAACCCCACCCCACCCACCCCCGGAGCGAAGAAGGGCCACACTTGGTGTAGTGGTTAAGAGCGGTAGACTCGTAATCTGGTGAACCGGGTTCGTGTCTCCGCTCCTCCACATGCAGCTGCTGGGTGACCTTGGGCTAGTCACACTTCTCTGAAGTCTCTCAGCCTCACTCACCTCACAGAGTGTTTGTTGTGGGGGAGGAAGGAAAAGGAGATTGTTAGCCGCTTTGAGACTCCTTCGGGTAGTGATAAAGCGGGATATCAAATCCAAACTACTCTTCTTCTTCTTCTTCTTCTTCTTCTTCTTCTTCTTCTTCTTCTTCTTCTTCTTCTTCTTCTTCTTCTTTTTCTTCCTGGCCCTTGCAGGGGAGAGCCCAGTTGGCCGACGTGACTCTTGGCAAGCGGAGAAGATCACTGGGCTAGGCCACACTGGGTTTGCCTGTGTGAGGGTGCTTGGTTTGCACCCGCTCAAAAATTGTGCACTCAGCCCCCACTCCAGGCACCCCCCACTCTATGCCCCTGGATCATAATGGGAGGTGACAGGCAGATAAGTCTGTAAATAAATAAAAAAAGGTAAAGGACCCCTGGACAGTTAAGTCTAGTCAAAGGTGACTATGGGGTTGCAGCGCTCATCTTGCTTCAGGCCGAGTGAGCTGGCGTTTGTCACAGACAGCTTTCTGGGTCATCTGGCCAGCAGGACTAAACCACTTCTGGCGCAACGGGACACTGTGACGGAAGCCAGAGCGCACGGAAATGCCATTTACCTTCCCGCCGTAACAGTATCTATTTATCTACTTGCACTGGTGTGCTTTCGAACTGCTAGGTTGGCAGGAGCTGGGGCAGAGCAACGGGAGCTCACACTGTTGCAGGGATTCGAACTGCTGACCTTCTGATCGGCAAGCCCAAGAGGCTCAGTGGTTTAGACCACAGCGCCACCAGCGTCCCATCCAGGTTTGTAAATATACAGGTGTTTGCATGGTACTCTCTCTCTCTCTCTCTCTCTCTCTCTCTCTCTCTCTCTCTCTCTCACACACACACACACACACACACACACACCACCTTTGAACCAATAGAGAATTCACTTTTCCGTAAAATCCTTTCACCATTGGATTCCTCTGTTAAGAGTTGCAGAAGGAGAACACACAATTTTCTCTTCCTCCGTAGAGTTTTGCTGCTTGCAAAAGCCTGCCATTATAATTTACTCGTTGGCTTTCCATTCCCATTTCCTTCCCTGCGAGATAACATAAAGATCAGCTGCTCCCCGCTGTGATAATTCACGTAGATCATGAGACTTTGATAGACGTGACAACAGAAATAACCTTCAGGTTGCTACTCCTTTTATGCTAGCTGCACACACAAAAGCCCTCTACCCCAGAGTGCCCGACGTGAGGGTTACGAAAGGTCCTCACCCACAAGTGCAGAGTTCAGAAAGTAAAAAAAAAATCTTATCACGACCACCTCACAGCGTAAAGCCAGAGATTAATCATGGGGGAAGGGGTGCTCTCTGTTATTGACAGAGTTGTATCGCAGGAATGACAGCGTGAGGCAGGTAAGCAGTACTTGCGAGAGCACAACAAACTGGAGAAAGGGGTTTTTGAAGCAGCTTTTCATAAAGCTCAGACAGATACCTTTGGAATGGAGTGCTTAAACAAGCTGGTGGGGCTTTGCAGAAGGAAATAGATAGCATCGCTGGATCGAGCGTCTGTTTTCACCATATGCTTACAAGAGATAGCTAGATCACAGAAAGCTGAGAGAGAGAGAGAGAGAGAAAGTGAAAGAGAGAGAGAGAGAGAGAGAGAGAGAGAGAGAGAGAGAGAGAGAAGTCTACTGTCTATTAAGCCAGATGAGTGGAAGGGCATTCAATGAGACTAATGAGTAATGCCTTGGAATGGCATACAAAAAATGAACAGGTTAAATCTGTAATGATACACTGGGCAAGGGATTTGGGGCATAATATCCAACTTTCAGAAGGGACGCAGGTGGCGCTGTGGTCTAAACCACAGAGCTTAGGGCTTGCCGATCAGAAGGTCGGAGGTTCGAATCCCCGCAACGGGGTGAGCTCCCATTGCTCGGTCCCAGCTCCTGCCAACCTAGCAGTTCAAAAGCACAAAGTGCAAGTAAATAAATAGGTACCGCTCTGGCAGGAAGGTAAATGGTGTTTCCGTGCGCTGCTCTGGTTCTCCAGAAGCGGCTTAGTCATGCTAGCCACATGACCCGGAAGCTGTATGCTGGCTCCCTTGGCCAATAAAGCGAGATGAGTGCCGCAACCCCTGAGTCGGCCACGACTGGACCTAATGGTCAGGGGTCCCTTTACCTTTACCTTTATCCAACTTTCAGATTGGGAAAGGTTATGGAAAACTGACTTGAAATTCTTGGCATGTTGAACGCTGAAAGAAAACTACAGTGGTACCTCTGGATGCGAACGGGATCCATTCCGGAGCCCTGTTCACATCCTGAAGTGAACGCAACCCACGTCTGCGCATCTGCACGTGTGCAGGTCATGATTCGTTGCTTCTGCGCATGCGCATGACGTCATTTTGAGTGTCTGTACATGCGCGAATGGCGACATCCAGAAGTAACACGTTCCATAACTTCCGGGTCGCCACGGAGCGCAACCCGGAAATGCTCAACGCGAAGCTACTTCAACCCAAGGTATGACTGTACAGTGGTACCTCAGGTTACATACGTTTGAGGTTACAGACTCCGCTAACCCAGAAATAGTGCTTCAGGTTAAGAACATTGCTTCAGGATGAGAACAGAAATCGTGCAGCGGCGGCGCAGCGGCGGCACAGCAGCAGCGGGAAGCCCCATTAGCAAAAGTGGTGCTTCAGGTTAAGAACAGTTTCAAGTTAAGAACGGAACTCCAGAACGAATTAAATATTTAACCCGAGGTACCACTGTATATGAAAATGATGTACTGGTGGCATTTGACTCCTAGGAAGTTAGCAAAAATGAATAAGACAAGTACAAATAGCTGCTGGAAATGTCAAGAAAAAGAAGGTACCTTTCACCATATGTGGTGGTCGTGTAAGGTAATAAAAGCATTCTGGAAAATGATATATAATGAATTGAAAAAATGTTTAAAATAACTTTTATTTTAAAAAGAAGCTTTTTTATTAAGAATTGTAGGTACCGAGATCCCAAAGGAGCAGAAAAAACTTTTCATCTACGTGACATCAGCTGCATGCATGCTACTAGCCCAGAGATGGGCTCTAGCCCAGAGTCCCTACCAGAGAGGAATGGCAAACCAAGCTGTTGGACTACGCCGAAATGGCAAAACTGATAGGAAAGCTCAGGAACCAAGAAGACAAAACCTTCAAGAAAAAATGGGGAGAATTTATAATTTATTTAGGAGACCACTGTAAGGAAAAGAAAACATTAGCAGGATTTTAATAACACTTGCAATGTAACAATCACTATGGACAATATGGAGAGATACAAAATATGGATTATGAAATAATATGCAATTGGAAATGTTGACAATAAGACCCATGGAGGGGAGGGTGGGATGTCCGGAGAAATCTCTAAATATGGATATGTATTTTGGTATTGTTATAACTTTACACTTGCAGGATCAGGCATCGGTCTTCCCATACCCCAACCGAACTAACCAGAGACAAATGAGACTGGTTTTGGGGGTCAAAACAGGCCACAACTTTCCTGAAGGTCTTTAAATTCTTCTGGACGACCTAACATGGCAGTAAAGCCTCTCCTCCTCCCGGAGGGGAGGGGTTGTGATCTGAAGGCGTTCCCGTGCTTCGCAGGGGGCGTTCCGGCCCCTGCTTGCCATCATTGCTGCTGCGCCACGCTCCCCAGTCAGTCTTCCAATCGTAGGGAAGCTCAGGGGCGGGGTTTAGCCACTCAAATGCGGCCACGGCAGCTCTTTCCCCTCATTGCGCTGCCGGGTTTCAATGGGTCAACCACCCACCCTTCCCTTTAGTTCATCGCTTCGTGCTTGACCTTGCTATGGACCTCTAGTTGGTTGCCTTGATTGCCCAAGGGGCCTGGTAGGAGTTTTTACCCAATTGGCAAATTGGCACCGGCCACTTGGTTTTTCACCTACCTCATAGCAAATCGTCACAACTTTCTGGTATTGGCGGTTAGGCATTGGAATATGTTGTTGGTTTATGGAAGGGCAGGGTGTGGCCATCGCCTACCCCTTCACTTTATGGGTATTCCGTTAAAGGAATCCGGTAGTCGTGGATCCTGTCCGATGCCCTGCTGGTGGCTGGGGCCATAGCACCACCCCCGGTGACCTCAGGGTAGAGCTTACAGTTGTATTTGCATCAACAAGCTCCCCCTATTGGTGGTTAACCCCCGTTAGGCTCACCCCTCCCTGAGGGGGTGGAGTCAAGCTCTGCTGTTTATCCAATGCCAAAGCCAATACCTCTCACATGCTGTAATCAATAAAGTTGTGGCCTTTTCTAGCGCATTAACCTACTATACTGTGTCCTTGTGTCTTTCTTATTCCCAAGCGGTGGCGGTCCTCGAATCACAATGCAGGTTTCCTGTTTTAAAATGTCTCTTACCTCTTCTGGCAACTGTCGCTCCCTCTATCCCGCTCTTTGTTGTGGCAATACATTCAGAGCTAGGGATAGGACATTGAGCCACTTCCAAGAGGAACTCAGCAAGCTCAGCAGCATGGAGACAGAACAATGGCTCCTGGCAACAGAGCAGAAACAGAGGGACACGGTCTTTTTGAATATTATGTTGCTGGAAAGCAAGAGGGACCACACAATAAAAATGGGAACCAGAAGAGAGGAGAATAGAGGACAACAAAAAGACAATTAAGTGGTCAAATGACAGCTCATTTGAGCTGGCTGTATTTATTATATTACATGGAGACCAGACCTCTTTTCTTGTTCCAGGTTCCTTCTCTTTCACTTCTGGTATTCCTCTCAATCCCAAATCATTTTAGATAGAGTTTCAAGCTTAACGATGACGACGACAAATTTAAGAATCATCTTTTTACACATACGTCTCAATGTAATTTACAGATATATCATTTAAACAGCTAAAATAAGGTTTGTTTGTTTATTTTTTAAATGTACAGTAGTACCTCAGGTTACATACGCTTCAAGTTACATACACTTCAGGTTACATACGCTTCAGGTTACAGACTCCGCTAACCCAGAAATAGTACCTCGGGTTAAGAACTTTGCTTCAGGATGAGAACAGAAATCGTGCTCCAGTGGCGCGGCGGCTGCAGGAGGCCCCATTAGCTAAAGTGGTGCTTCAGGTTAAGAACAGTTTCAGGTTAAGTACAGATCTCCGGAACGAATTAAGTACTTAACCTGAGGTACCACTGTACAAAAAAACTGAAAATTGGTTTTTAAAAACTGGTGGGTCAATCAACTACAGCCCTGCAATGCTACAGACTAGAGCTTTCATCACTCCTTGAAATTTGCCATGCTGGCTGGAGCTGATTAGGAACTATAAGTTCAGTGACATCTCAGAGGTGTCCATATAACTGTCTAATCCTGTTGAGTTGGATGAGTTTCGACCCAGTATACCTGAAGGAGCGTCTCCACCCCCATCGTTCAACCCGGACATTGAGGTCCAATTCTGAAGGTCTTCCGGCGGTTTCCTCCCTGCGAGAAGTGAAGTTACAGGGAACGAGGCAGAGGGCCTTCTCAGTAGTGGCACCCACCCTGTGGAATGCCCTCCCATCAGATGTCAAGGAAATAAAAAAATATCTGATGTTTAGAAGACATCTGAAGGCAGCCCTGTTTAGGGAAGTTTTTAATGTTTGATGTTTTATCATGTTTTTAATATTCTGTTGGGAGCTGCCCAGAGTGGCTAGGGAAACCCAGCCAGATGGGCAGAGTATAAACAAACAAACAAATTATTATTATTATTATTAGCAAGGCTTAAGCATGTGGACAAGGCCTTGTAAATGTGTTTGTGGGTAGGCGGGGTATTGCTTTGTTTCCGTTTCCATTTTTGCTTTTGTTTTAGAATGTATTCTGTGCTCTCATTTTGAATTTTTATGCTGTGAGCCTTCCTGTGATCTATACAAATTTATAACAATAGATAGACAGACAGACAGACAGACAGACAGATAGATAGATAGATAGATAGATAGATAGATAGATAGACAGACAGACAGACAGACAGACAGATATAGATACAGATACAGATACCCCTGACACGGAAGACTCTGGGGATTACGCGCTCATCTCGCTCTATAGGCCGAGGGAACCGGCGTTTGTCCGCAGACAGTTTCCGTGTCATGTGGCCAGCATGACTAAGCCGCTTCTGGCGAACCAGAGCAGCACTTTTACCTTCCCGCCAGAGCGGTACCTATTTATCTACTTGCACTTTAACGTGCTTTCAAACTGCTAGGTTGGCAGAAGCTGGGACCAAGCAACGGGAGCTCACCCTGTCGCAGGGATTTGAGATTTGAACCACCAACCTTCTCATCAGCAAGCCCTAGGCTCTGTGGTTTAGACCACAGTGCCACCCACGTCCTTATCGATATAGATATATTGAGAAAGATAGATAGATGATAGATAGATAGATAGATAGATAGATAGATAGATAGATAGATAGATCTTGGCTTCTGAACCTGTTTTGGTTCTGCTGCATTGTGGGCAAAGAAGGGGGGGCAATTTTAAGATTGCCTTTTCTTCTAAAAACGTGCTTTCATTTGCTTATTAAATTGCTTGTATTCTCACACTTTCTTGCAAATCTGAACGAATCTTTGTCGCCGATTCCTTCTATACAGATTTGTTTAAATGAAATCCACTGATTAGCTTAAGTAACCGGTTAAACATAATCAAAAGGAACCTGTCACAAATGCTGCGATCCAACGGGCACAGAGGAGCTAATGCGTCTAAAATGTTGGCTTAATTCTTTCAGGACCCTTTTACAGTGTTCATTTGGGAATCATTGGAGAAGTGTAAAGTATCTCTTTGAATCCTGGCCAGCTGTTTGTTATCCCGTTGGTTCTGGCTTGCTCTAAAAGAAATCTCTTCGCCCAGAAAACATTTCAGTTTGGCTTCTTTTCCACAATAAACAAACAAACAAACAAGTGACACTTTAAAAAATGCTCATCTGTTAAAATATGTAAATCTCTACTTAAAAGTTACTCGATTAGCAACAGAAATAAGCAGTCATTGTGGCTTTATTTCAAAATGAAAAGAATTAACAGTTGCTCACAAGGGCAAGTGAGGGCCTTCCACCAAAATCTAATTTTCAGAGCTTTCCAAAGGGAAAAAAGGGGGGGGGGTTCTTTATACAACCAGCCTGTTGACTGCTGTTTCAGAAATGGGTGGGGGACAATGTTATTTGGTGAAGAATTTGGCACGTTGTTCAGAAATGCAAGGTTTTCCTATTAAAAATACATTTTGATTTTCTCGCAACCCTTTGAAATTCTGCAATTGAATCTGAGCTAAAAAGGCTAACTGGCTCAAATGTCACCAGAGTTGCAAACACTGGGAGGCCTTAGACCTCCTGGGGTTTTTCCTCAGCTTTGCCCTCTTGTGCAATAGGGTGATAATGATACCGCCTTACTTGACAGGTTGCAAGCATGACTGTGAATGTGTTGTGAAGCACTTTGAGCACTCAGAAAAGGTGCTGTATATGCTGCGAATCTTTCATAATGAGGTTTCAGATATCTGCAAGTCTCCACCTTTTCAGACCCTCCAAGTGTCCCTATTTTTCAGGGACACTCCCTGGTGTACCGAAGCTGTCCCAGTTTCTGATTTGATCCTGGAATATCCCACTTTTCCTTATTGTTGTTGTTGTTGTTTAGTTGTTTAGTCGTTTAGTCGTTTAGTCGTTTAGTCGTGTCCGACTCTTCGTGACCCCATGGACCAGAGCACACCAGGCACTCCTGTCTTCCACTGCCTCCCGCAGTTTGGTCAAACTCATGCTGGTAGCTTCAAGAACACTGTCCAACCATCTCGTCTTTACAGCACTGGACTTTCCTTTCGCCTCCAGGCATATCCGCAACTGAGCGACCTTTCGGCTTTGGCTCAGCCGCTTCATCAGCTCTGAATCTACTTGTACTTGTCCTCCACTCTTCCTCAGTAGCATGTTGGACGCCTTCCAACCTGAGGGGCTCATCTTCCAGAGTCATAACTCTTATATGCCTGTTGTCTTTGTCCATGGAGTTTTCTTGGCAGGGATACTGGAGTGGCTTGCCGGTTCCTCCTCCAGGTGGATCACGTTTGGTCAAAACTCTCCACTATGACCTGTCCATCTTGGGTGCCCTGCTCGGCATAGTTCATAGCTTCTCTGAGTTATTCAAGCCCCTTCGCCATGGCAAGGCAGTGATCCATAGGGTGTTCCTATTTTCATTGGAGAAATGTTGGACGCTATGGTAGGATGTCTCTATTGTCAACAGAAAAATATTGGTGGGTATGGAGTTATGTGAACCCTGAGCCAAGGAAATAAGTAACTATATAACCTTTAGAAAACGTCTGAAGGCAGGGAAGTTTTTAATGTTTAATGTTTTATTAAGTTTTTGTGTATGTTGGAAGCCACCCAGAGTAGCTGGGGAAACTAGTCAAGATAGGTGGGGTATAAATAATAAAATGATGATGGTAAAATAGGATTTCCCTATTTTCATCGGAGAAATGTTGGAGGGTATGCCTTTTCCTTCTCCCTTAAAAAAGCCTGGACACAGAGGTCCAGCTCCGGGGGCCTTCTGGCGGTTCCCTCCCTGCGAGAAGTGAGGTTACAGGGAACCAGGCAGAAGGCCTTCTCGGTAGTGGCACCCGCCCTCCCATCAGATGTCAAGGAAATAAACAACTATCTGACTTTTAGAAGACATCTGAAGGCAGCCCTGTTTAGGGAAGTTTTTAATGTTTGATGTTTTATCATGCTTTTAATATTTTATTGGGAGCCTCCCAGAGTGGCTGGGTGAACCCAGCCAGATATACGGGGTATAAATAATATTTTATTATTATTATTTTTTTATTATTATTATTATCAGTGCTTTTTTCTGGGGAGACACATACCCCTAAACATTTTGTGAATCTAAGCAGTATTTCAATATGAGTAGGAAAATGAGGGAAAAAAGCACTGATTATTATTGTTATAGAGAACAAAAGACCATCAAGAAAAAACAGCATGGTCCAACTGGATTTGAACACTGAACCATTCATCTCAGCATCTGTATGTTGATATGTGCTCAGTGCCTAACTAATAATAATAATAATAATAATAATAATAATAATAATACTTTATTATTTATACCCCGCCCATCTGGCTGGGCTTCCCCAGCCACTCTGGGTGACTCCCAACCAAATATTAAAATACAGTAATACATCAAACATTAAAAGCTTCCCTGAACAGGGCTGCCTTCAGATGTTTTCTAAAAGTTTGGTAGTTGTTGTTCTCTTTGACATCTGGTGGGAGGGCATTCCACAGGGAGGGCGCCACTACCGAGAAGGCCTTCTGCCTGGTTCCCTGTAACTTGGCTTCTCGCAGTGAGGGAACCGCCAGAAGGCCCTCAGCACTGGACCTCAGTGTCCGGGTAGAACTATGGGGGTGGAGACGCTCCTTCAGATATACTGGACCGAGGCCATTTAAGACTTTAAAGGTCAGCACCAAAACATTCAATTGTGCTCAGAAACGTACTGGGAGCCATTGTAAGTCTTTCAAGACCGGTGTTATGTGGTCTTGGCGGCCACTCCCAGTCAGCAGTGTAGCTGCCGCATTCTGGATTAGTTGTAGTTTCCGGGTCACCTTCAAAGGTAGCCCCACGTAGAGCGCATTGCAGTAGTCCAAGCGGGAGATACCAAAGCATGCACTACTCTGACGAGACAGTCCACGGGCAGATACCGTCTCAGCCTGCGTACCAGATGGAGCTGGTAAACAGCTGCCCTGGACACAGAGTTGACTTGTGCCTCCATGGACAGCTGTGAGTCCAAAATGACTCCCAGGCTGCGCACCTGGTCCTTCAGGGGCACAGTGACCCCATTCAGGACCAGGGAGTCCTCCACACTCACCCGTCTCCTGCCCTCCCAAAACAGTACATAACTAATGTATACATTCTTGAATTGAAACAACAATCCTATTCTCTCTCTCAACTTTATTTTCAAGGGAGGGAGGGTTGCTTATTCTATTTATTTTGGTACATTTATATACCGCCTATTAACTTGGTCCTCCAGAGAGTTCACAACATTATCAAAACAACAAACTTCAAGGTGCAGTCAGGGTCATGGACATCAGAAGTGTTCAGAGCTCTTCCACAGACCCCCGGCTTCAGCAATGAAAAGAGATCTGTCCCATATCTGTCGGCAATTTCAAGCTATGCTCCAGGGTCGGTAACAAAAAAGACAGCAAACATTTTGGCCGATGACTGGGGGCGGGGTGGGGAATTGCATGCATTATCATCCGCACAGTGCAGAGATATTTCATCTATTAATAATGCATGGGTTATGAATAAATAGCAAGTGACAATTTGGATGACTGCTGTTTTGGATGTTATAAACCATAACGTTTCTGTGCAAACAGTTCATGAATATAGAGAAGAAAGGATTTTAATGGAATGAATCAGTAGCAGCAGAAGAAGAAAAAGAAAGAATTCCGGATGAAAAGGGAGCTTGATTTGCACAGCACTGGGAAACACAGAAGGCTGTTCTCATATGAAAGGCAGGTTTCTGCTTTTCCACATGAATGCACATTGACAAAAGTCTCATTTGATGCTCAGGGATGGAACCTAATTATTTCATTGTATTAATTTAGTCACACATGACATTATTTATATGTACAATACCATCGACATGCAGAGCAACATAGGGGGGAGGGGGAGGAAGAAGGAATGTCCCTTCCCAGGGAAACTCCCCTTCTAAATTTCAGCACTGGAGGAAACTATTCCTAGAGTGGCAACGCTCTGTTGACACATGCTAAACAGATAGCTGCCATCTGCACAGTCCTGCCGACCAGTCTTTCATGTTGCATGCTTAAAGTGCTGTGGGTGCCTCCCCCCCCCCCGCCCCCAAATCTCCTTGCAGTGGTCCTGGTATGTGTAAGGGATTCCAAATGTCCTCAAATTATTATTATTATTATTATTATTATTATTATTATTATTATTATTATTATGTATTGTTTCTGCTTTTTAAAAAAAGCAAAAAAAAAAAAAGCAGAGGCATAACCTTGCCAAAAAAGGTCCGTATAGTTAAAGCCATGGTTTTCCCATTAGTGATGTATGGAAGTGAGAGCTGGCCCATAAATGAATTATGGTGCTGGAGGAGACTCTTGAGAGTCCCATCGACTGCAAGAAGATCAAACCTCTCCATTCTGAAGGAAATCAGCCCTGAGTGCTCACTGGAAGGACAGATCCTGAAGCTGAGGCTCCAATACTTTGGCCACCTCATGAGAAGAGAAGACTCCCTGGAAAAGACCCTGATGTTGGGAAAGATGGAGGGCACAAGGAGAAGGGGACGACAGAGGACGAGATGGTTGGACAGTGTTCTTGAAGCTACGAACATGAGTTTGACCAAACTGCGGGAGGTAGTGGAAGACAGGAGTGCCTGGCGTGCTCTCGTCCATGGGGTCAAAAGAGTCAGACACGACTAAACGACTAAACAACAACAAAATAATTTATTTCTTATACCCTGCCCATCTGACCAGGCCTCCCCAGCCATTCTGGACAGCTCCCAACACAATATTATAAACACGATAAAACATCAAATATCAAAAACTTCCCTTGAGATGTCTTCTAAAAGTCAGATAGTTGTTTATTTCCTTGACACCTGGTGGGAGGGCATTCCATAGGGCAGGCGCCTCTGCCTGGTTCCCTGTACTCTCACTTCTCGAAGTGAGAGAACCACTAGAAGGCCCTCGGAGCTGGACCTCAGTTTCTGGGCTGAACAATGGGGGTGGAGGCGCTCCTTCAGGTATACTGGGCCAAAGCCATTTAAGGGGGAGGAGGCACACAAAGGAGGGCTTCAGAATGTGATCTCAGAGTCTGGGTAGGTTCATGGGTAGGTGGTCCTTGAGGTATTGCGGTCCTGAGCCATTTAAGGCTTTATAGGTCAAAACCAGCACTTTGAATTGGGCCCAGAAACTAATTGGTAGCCAGTGCAGTCGGACCAGGATCAGTATAATATGCTCAAACTGTCTTGAGCAACCTGGCCACTGAATTCTGCACCAGCTGAAGTTTCTGAACCATCTTCAGAGGCAGCCCTACTTATAATGCATTGCAGTAACTTGAAGTTACCAGACCATAGACAAGAGTACTTAGGCTATCCCTGTCCAGACACTCTGAGCCACTAATAATAGGAGGAGGAGGAAGAGGAGGAGGAGGAGGAGGAGAGGAAGAAGAAGAAGAGGAGGAGGAGGAGGAGGAGGAGAGGAAGAAGAGGAGGAGGAGGAGGAGGAGAGGAAGAAGAAGAAGAAGAAGAAGAAGAAGAAGAAGAAGAAGAAGAAGAAGAAGAAGAAGAAGAGAACAACAACAACAACACGCACCCTGAACTCAGTGAGACTTTCTGATGAGTAAGCATTTTTAGGACCAGACTGCAAAGTATTGTAATGGCTTAGCAGTTAGCACAGTAGGTCCTTTGGAACTATGGCTTGCAACAAGCATTTGCAAGCAACTTGCATGCAAGGATTAATGACCAAAAACACATGGAATTTGTGTAATTTTAATTGGGTAAGGTGCATCATTTTCCCAAGCTTGATAAGGTCATTTGAGAAACAATTAGGTGGCACCATGGGGTAAATAAAGCAGGCACATGGAATAAATGATAGCTCACCTAACCTTTCTTAGCTCCTGTAATTGGGTACACATTATTCAAAGTTAAGCAAAAGGACACACATAAATTGGACCCTCCACTGTGATATAGCTGCCACGAGACAAACGCGATAATGCCCGGGCTGGCGCATGGCTCACAAAACATGATATTATAGATCTCCTTCAGACCATTGACAGAGTTTGCAAATTGCATAACTTGCCTAATTCCTGCTTTGAGATAGTGTTCCTGCTCGCTGCATAATGCTCATCAGTCTTTCAGAAACTGTCGCTGGTCGCTAACAATAGCTGTCATTGAGAAAATAATCCTAGGCAATTTTCTACCAGATAATTCAACCTACCGTGTTATCTTCTTCAGGGGAGTGAAAAGGCAACGCCAGGGGAGCTTAAACGGTGGCTTTACCCAGTGAAAGATTATTCCAGTTCTGAGGCAGCTCTGCTTAAAAAGGTTAGAAGCCTAGAAATACTCTACATTCCATCAACAGCGGAATGCGCTGATAATGGCAGAGTTTAAACAGCCGCTCCAATTATCATCAAATAGCATGTAAAAGTCTACTCCAAAGCTACCAAAGTCTATTAGCTTATCCTTCTCTCAAAGCCATGGTAGTGCTCTAGTTCTCTTCTGCTTCACAATGATATGGATTTGCGTCCATGAGAATCGGCAGACGGTACTTCGCTCTTATCAGTTGCTGGGGGAAATCGTGAATTCAGAACTTTCCAAAACCTGACGTGAAGCCTATTTAAAATTAGAAACTGACACGAAATCAATGTTTTGGACTTTGCCCGCCACTTAGAGAGAAGAGCCGTCTTCCATTCCTAGGGCGAGCCAGGCTGGTGGCCCCACGGCAGGGAGGTACCTTGTCATCGTCCCCCAGTGTGTCCTTTGGAAGAAGTGCAGCGGCAGAATAAAACCACCTGGTGCTGCGCCCTGCAAGCAGAGGGGCAGGCAGGTGGTATGGCTGAGCGATATCCAGTTTTCAACATTGTGATTCATCACCAGCTGAACATCGCAATAGACAATGTCTGGAATAAGGATGGAGCTGTGTAGGTTCTTCTCGGTAGTGGCGCCCTCCCTGTAGAATGCCATTACTTCAGAATGTCAAGGAGATAAAGAATTACACAGCTTTTAGAAGACATCTGAAGGCAGCCCTGTATCAGGAGGTTTTTAATGCTTGATGTTTTTATTATGTTTTTTATTTTGTTTTATTATGTTTTTAAATATGGTGCTGGAGGAGACTCTTGAGAGTCCCATGGACTTCCAGAAGATCAAACCTATCCATTCTGAAGGAATTCGGACCTGAGTCCTCACTGGAAGGACAGATCCTGAAGCTGAGGCTCCAATACTTTGGCCACCTCATGTGAAGAGAAGACTCCCTGGAAAAGACCCTGATGTTGGGAAAGATTGAGGGCAGAAGGAGAAGGGGATGACAGAGGACGAGATGGTTGGACAGTGTTCTCGAAGCTACCAGCATGAGTTTGACCAAACTGAAGGAGGCAGTGGAAGACAGGAGTGCCTGGCATGTTCTGGTCTGTAGGGTCACAAAGAGCCGGACACGACTAAAGAACAACAACAGATATACTGTAAGCCACCCAGAGTGGCTGGGGTAAAATAAATAAATGAATGAATGAATAAATAAATAAATAAATAAATAAATGTACTAATGCGGGCTCTAGTTTTGGGCAGAGAACAATCATTCCCATATTTTCATGGGCATTTTGACAGTATTTAAATATCTCATAATAGTCACCATTTTTTAAAAAAAATGACACATGATGATACCTGATTTGAATATATTTTCCTCCATTAGTTCTACTTACACTACCCATAGCAGACTTCCTAGTTCCAAGTCAGCAGAAACATGAGCTTTTGTGGCATGAAATGAGATGGGCCCGATTCGTCAACATTCACTGAGATGTTGTTGTTGTTGTTTAGTCGTTTAGTCGTGTCCGACTCTTTGTGACCCCATGGACCAGAGCATGCCAGGCACTCCTGTCTTTCACTGTCTCCCACAGTTTGGTCAGACTCATGTTTGTAGCTTCGAGAACACTATCCAACCATCTCATCCTCTGTCATCCCCTTCTCCTTGTGCCCTCAATCTTTCCCAACATCAGGGTCTTTTCCAGGGAGTCTTCTCTTCTCATGAGGTGGCCAAAGTATTGGAGCCTCAGCTTCAGGATCTGTCCTTCCAGTGAGCACTCAGGGCTAATTTCCTTAAGAATGGATGCGTTTGATCTTCTTGCAGTCCATGGGACTCTCAAGAGTCTCCTCCAGCACCATAATTCAAAAGCATAAATTCTTCGGCGATCAGCCTTCTTTTTTTTTTTTTTTTTTTATTAGAAAAAGATTACAAAAAGATTACAATTCAAATGCCATATACATGTATACATGCATTTAAAAAAGATGAGAAAAACAACAAGAAGAAAGAAGAAGAAACAAATTACAGATATTCCTATCCTATACCGAACAGGAATAAGAGAAGAGAACAAAGAAATAAAGAAAGAAAAAGAAACAGAGAAAAAGAAAACAAAACAAAAAAGAAAAGAAACAGACTTCCGTTCATCTTGGTATGGAATAACAAAAACATCAGATAATCTTTGCAGTAGTACTCATATTGATGTTATACATCGAGGGTGTTAGTTATCTTCTGCTGTAATATTCTTAACGCCAATATTATTTTTAACATACAATAAAAAATTCTTCCATTCATCTTTATGTTTCATGTTGTTATTTTGCCTTATTTTCTGTGTTAGTCTCGCTAATTCTATATATTCATATAGTTTCACTTGCCATTCTCCGATTGAGGGAATATCAGCGGATTTCCATTTTTGTGCAAGCAAAATTCTCGCTGCACCTATCGCATATTGGAAGAAGGTTTGATCTGATTTTTTATTTCCTCATCAATCATACCCAGGAGAAACAGCTCGGGTTTTTTGGGGAAGTTATACTTTAAAATTTTTTTCAGTTCCTCATGAATCTTTCCCCAGAATTCCTTTACCGTCTCACAGGTCCACCAGATGTGGAAAAAAGTCCCGATCTTATCTTTACATCTCCAGCAATTATTGTCAACAGTCTTATACATTTTACCTAGCTTTGCTGGAGTCAGGTACCAGCGGTACATCATCTTCTCGAGGTTTTCTCTAAGGGTTACACACGCTGTAAATTTCATACCCTTCCTCCAGAGTGTTCGCCATTTGCTATAATCAATATTATACCCTAAATCACTATTCCACTTTACCATCACGCCCTTCACCTCGTCCTCCCTTGTGTCCCATTCTAGCAGTTGTTTATATAATTTAGAGAGGTGTTTGTCATTACTCTCTAGAATTTCTACCTGAAATCTTGATTTTTTATCCCTCATCCCCTGCTTCTTGTGCTCACCCCACAGTGCATTAATTTGATGAAAGAGTAGCCATTCTCTTATCTTATCTTTCAGCTCAACATAAGGTTTCATCTTCCATCCATCTTCAGTCTTTGTCAGCAAATCCTCATAAGTCCATCTTTCTTCCGTCATATTTGGTTTTTTTAATCTGATAATATCCACTGGGGAGAGCCACCAGGGGGTCCCATTTTCAATCAGTTTTTTATATCTGTTCCACACCGCCAATAGTGAGCCTCTAATTATGTGACTCGAAAACCCTCTATGCACCTCACCTTTCCCCTGCCACAGGTAAGCGTGCCACCCAAACCTAATATCAAAACCCTCCAAATCCAATAAATCCGTATTTTTGAGGGTGGCCCACTCCCTTAACCAACTTAAACAGGCTGCCTCGTGATATAACCTTAAGTTCGGTACCGCAAAACCCCCTCTCTCTTTCGCATCGGTCAGATATTTAAACTTTATCCTGGCTCTCTTCCCCTGCCAGATAAATTTAGACATCGTTTTTTGCCAGTTCTTAAAACGAGTGCCTCCCTTAATTATTGGGATATTTTGAAACAGGAACAATAACCTTGGGAGGATACACATTTTGATCGCCGCCATCCTCCCCGTCCAAGAGAGTTTCAGCCTCTGCCATGTTTCCAAATCCTTTTTAATTTCTTGCCAAATCTTATCGTAATTATCTTCAATTAAATTTATATTTTTTGGGGACAGCCAAATTCCCAGGTATTTTACCTTATTCACAATTTTAATACCCGTCCTTTGTTCCAATTGAGTTTTATCCTCCTCTGCCAGATTCTTTGTTAAAATTTTTGTTTTCCTCTTATTTAATTTAAATCCTGACAATCTGCCGAATTTTTCCAACATTTCTATCAACTTACATGCGCTATCCAATGGCTCTTCCAGAGATAGGACTAAATCATCGGCGTATGCCTTTAGCTTGAATTCTTTCCTTCCAATCCTGATCCCCTTCACCTCTACTGCCTCTCTTATTCTGTTTGCAATAACTTCCAAGACCGTTATAAATAACAAGGGGGACAGAGGGCAACCCTGTCGGGTTCCTTTCTTAATCTTAAATGGTTTGGTCAAGTTGTTATTTATGATCAGCATAGCCTGTTGTTCCGAATATATTGCTTTAATACCTTTCAGATAAGGGCCCTCGATACCTGCCTTTTTCAGACATAGTAATAGGAATTCCCAAGAAACATTATCAAACGCCTTCTCGGCGTCTATAAAGATCAGAGCGGCTGGAGTATCTATCCTTGTATCTAAGTATTCGATAATGTTTAATATATGACGGACATTATTTTTCTGATAGCGGTTAGGGAGGAATCCCACTTGATCTCTATGTATATATTTCATTAATAGCTTCTTTAATCTACTAGCCATTATATCGGCAAAGATCTTGTAATCGTTATTAAGCAGCGAGATTGGCCTGTAATTTTTATATCTGTTTTCTCTGTTTCTGATTTAGGCACCAGAGTTATATATGCCTCCTTCCAGGAGCCCGGAATTTTCCCTCCCTGGAGGATATTATTGATGACATCTCTAAGTACCGGAGCGAGTAATTCTCCTAATGTTTTATAATATTTTGAGGGCAGACCGTCCGGCCCGGGAGCCTTACCATTTTTCATCCTGTTAATGGCCTCCATAACCTCATCTACAGTAATTTCTCTATTTAGCCATTTTCTATCCTCCTCCGAGACATAATTCCCTCTATCCTGCTCCAAATATTTTTCAATTTCTGAGCTATCTTCTGACCCTCTCTCATATAACTTTTCAAAAAACTGCACAAACCCTTTTTCTATTTCTTCCGGATCTTCAATGACATTATTTTCCATTATTATTTTGCTTATCATATTTTGCTTTTTCCTTTTTCTCAGCTGCCACGCTAATAATTTCCCCATTTTATTGGCCGATTCAAAATATCTCTGCCTCATATATTTAATTCTCCAGTCCGATTCTTGGTTTAATATAGCTGAATACTGGGCCTGCAGCACCTTTATGGCGCGGATGGCCTCCTCATCTGCTGGGTTTGTGGTTAGTTTCCTCTCGTGGTTTCTCAGTTCTGTAAGAATCTCTACTTTCTTTTGTTCTCGCACTTTCCTCCTATAGTTATTTTGTTGGATAAAGATACCCCTCATAACCGACTTACTAGCATCCCATACCGTGTCTATGGAAGGTTCCCCCTTCAAGTTCCAATCAAGATACTCCTTCAA